GGCTGCCTGTCAGCAAGTGGATCTCTGGCCTGTACCTCTTAAAACCTGCCTGGACCTAGTTACAGGAAAGCACAGCAGCTTAGCAGCTGCCTGAACACTAAACACATTTCTTCTTTGATTTTAACTCCTGAGTGCCTGTTCCCTGCTAGTGTATTGGTTGGTAAATTCTTTATGGCATTTCAACCCCACAACGAACCTACAATGTAGAAATCATTATCCCCATTCTGCAGTCAAAGAAACTGATGTTCAGAGAGATTAAGTGATAAGCCCACTCCTGCCACACTTCAAAACCTGTGTCCTTTCCACTTCAGGTATGTCAGAAGGATAAGAACAGACAGGTTAATCCTCATATGACACTCTGAAGTAGATGGTTGCTTTATTCTCATCTTTTCAGGTAAAAAATAAAAAAGTGAGACTCAGCAGAGTTTATGGCTCATTTAAAGTCCCCAGATATGAAATGAAGGATTTAAGATTTGAACCCCAATCATTTCCTTTCCATTACCCTCTTCGAGGGCAAGGCCCCAGCTTATCTCCTTAGCATTCTGCCCATCAATGTGCCATAGGTGAAAAAGGGTGAAGTGAGAAGCTATGAGTGCCAGGAAGGGGAGAAAGGAGAATTGGGCAGAATATACATAAAAAGAAAAAAAATGTGTGGGCGAGCACACAGCCAGACCAACTGCGTCGTTTCTCTTTACCACACGCGTGGGGTTGCTACAGGCATCCTTGGAGATGTATTCTGTTTCCATATACAGCATCTCTGGGACTGCGGGGGTTTCTCTCTGCACATGACCTCTTCCCCTAATAAAATGCCTTTGTCACTCTCTGATGACCTGTTCACAGCTTTTCTCCACCTTTTTTGTTCTTTTTTTGGCTTCAGGAACATCTATTTTTCACTCAGCCAACAGTTTTGCTCAATATCTAATTCATCTCCTGTCTTGAAATAAAGCCAAATGGGGATGGGATACAATTATTTGTCGATTTCAAGCCAGCCCATATGTCTGCCAGTATGACTGCTGAGTTCTCCTCATGGGTAATCTTCGTTTTTAGTGGAATTACATTCTAAGACGGTGGCCTCCTTTGACATCCTAAAGAACAAGCATACACATCTTTTATCTCTCAGTACATTGTAGTCAAAATGCTTAACTCTCTTCTGTAGCTACAGGCTGGGGCCAGGCACTGTTGCCAGGAACAAGACCACGATGGGTGAGATCTCAGAACAACCCTGCGATTTGCTCAGATAAGCCATGGTTCTGTGGTGCAGCAGGAAAAGGACTGGGCTCTCATGATGGGTAGCAAAGGTGGGAAAAGCAGAGGAATATTCGAGGTATGCGTCAAACACTAGGACAGACATTTTTACTAAGGGCCGGAGGATAGAATTCAGGCATGCCAAGAACATGAATGGGGAAAAAAATTACATCTTTATTTTCACTCATTACTGACTGAAATTTAGCTTTTCCTTCAATTATAAAAGGAAGCAACAAACTGGAGTAGTATTCATAGTCCTGGGTCTTTGTCACCATAGACGTGGATATTTTTATATCATGTTACAGTTGTTGTGGATATATAAACTTTTTTATGCTCATTACTACTTCAAACTTTATGTGAGTAGCACTACCCACAATAAATGTTATTAAATTCGTTAATAGAAAGCACATGCATCCTCGGTCACAAATTGGGGTTTTGAAGTTTTTTGTATATCAATATAATAAAAGGCTATTGAATTATGTTTTGCTTCTGTAATCCTATGTATTTTATTTTCTGTGTTAAGAAACATTACTCTGAGAAAGGGTCCACAGGCTTCATCAGACCACCAGTGGGGCCCATGGCATTACAGTGGTTAAGATCTTTTGCTCTAAGAGAAGCCTGAGGCTCCTACACCCTCCTCCAAGCATGAGATGGAGAAAAACAAAGGGGGAAATAGGAGATGGAGGAGGATGGGGTATGATGGATAGAGGCGTGTGTTCACCTGTTTTTCTTTTCCCCCTTTTTGCATTGTTTTAAAGAAATAACGTGAGGCCAGATAACTTATAAGGAAAAGAGTTTAATTGGCTCATGATTCTGCAGGCTTCACAGAAAGCACAGCGCAGGCATGTGTTCCCAGTGAGGTTTCAGGAAACTTCCACTCATGGTGGAAGGGGGAGCCCATGCATCACATGGAGAGAAAGTGAGCAAGAAAGAGAAGGGGAATGTCCCAGACTCTTAAACACCCAGATAGCACATGAACTCATTGAGCAAAAACTCACTCATCACCAATGGGACAGTGCCTCATTCATGAGGGATCTGCCCCAATGATCCAATCCCTCCCACCAGGCCCCATCTCCAACATTGTGGGTGACATTTCTTCATGAGAAAGGGGACACACATCCAAACCATATCAAGGAAGAAAAATATGAGGACTAGAAATGTTACCAAAGGAACCCAGAAGACAAAGAAAGAAAGAAAGAAAGAAAGAAAGAAAGAAAGAGCAGAGTTTTCCAAAATCAACCCAAGAACACACCCAATAATACTAGGAAGTGAAGCAAAAGTTTAAAATAAGGACTCTGAAAACAAATCTTGAAAGTCTCTACACTCAAATATCTATTGCAAGCTAAACTCTGAAATGCTTAAAGAACAGCCTTCCACCAGAGTGGCCCTGCTTCTGACCCAGAAGCTGGTTAGAAAAGCTTCTGCCTGAGCCTGCTGAGGCTGAGGCTGAAGGAGGACTATTCTGGGCTTGCACTAAATCCTAATGTGAGTGGTAGGGCCCAAATGCCCTCTCTAACAGAAAACAGCAGAGGATGTATTCTGGATGGTTAGAGCCTTGACACTGCACTCCAGCTCATACATGGCAGAGGTGATGACCACCAGTGACTTTCCCCAGGAATGGCTCAGAGCTGGTGCCCCCACTGAGGCAGCCTGGAAGCAGCAGGCTTTTGTCCTGGCTCCCAGGACACTGAGTCATCATGGCTGTTGAAAACAGTTCATGCTCTTTCATTTTCTCCTTTGGATTCTTATGTCAGACTAGAACCAATCAGGACTTTCTCATGTCCCTTCCCACTCTGATTTTGCTGAGGTGGCTAGTGAGACCAATACCCCCATTTCCTGCTTTCTAGCATCTTCTCCATCCCTTTCACTAAGGAAAGGAGAAGGGATGGGAGCTTGTCATAGGCTGGGCTCTCCTAGCAGCAGATCCTGAGACCAGGTGAGGGGAGCTGATAGAGTTTGGATGTTATTCGCTCCAAACCTCATGTGGAGTGATCCCCACAAGAGTATGAGAATGTGAAATGCTACCAGAGGAACGTTTGTGGTTCCCAATGTTGGAGGTCAGGCCTACTTGGAAGTGTTTAAAACACAGGGGCACATCCCTCATGAATGGCTTAGCACCATCCCCTTGGTGATAAGTGAGTTCTCACTCACTCAGTTCACAGGAGATCTGACTGTTTTAAAAGAGTATGGCACCTCCCTCCTCTCTCTCTTGCTCCCATTCTCATCCTGTGATATGCTGGCTCCCTGTTGCCTTCTACCTTAATTGTAAGCTTCCTGAGGCCCTTGTCAGAAGCAGATGCCAGCACCCTATTTCCTGTACACCTGCAGAACTATGAGCCAATTAAACCTCTTTTCTTTATAAATTACCTAGCCTTAAGTATTTCTTATAACAACACAAAAACAGACTGTTACAGAACATTGATATCGAAGAGTAGGGCATTGCTATAAAGATACCTGAAAATGTGGAAGCAGCTTTGGAACTGGGTAATGGGCAGAGGTTGGAAAAGTTTGGAAGGCTTAGAGAAGACAGGAAGACAAGGAAAAGCTTGAAACTTCTTAGAGATCAGTTAAGTGACTGTGACCAAAATTCTGGTAGAGATATGGACAGTAACTTCCAGGCTGACAAGGTCTCAGATAGAAATGTGGAAGTCATTGGGAACTGGAGGGAAGCTCACTCTTGTTATGCCCTAGCAAAGAGCTTGGCTGCATTGTGTCCATGTCCTATGGCTTTGTGGAAGTCTGAACTTGAGAGTGATGACTTAGGGTATACAGTGGAAGAAATTTCTAGACAGCAATCTGTTTACACACAGGCTTACCACCACGTGGAAGCTGGCAAGGCTTTTGGTTTGTGTCCTAAGTATTCAAGAAGTAGGATGGTTGCTTCTAACAGTCTACAATCAGATGAGGAATCAAAATAATAATTTAAAGTTGGAACTTATGTTTAAAAGGGAAAGAGAGCATGCAAGTTCAGAAAATTTGCAGCCTGGCCCTACGGTAAAGAAAGAATCCAACCTGGCTGTAGAGCAACCACTTGCTAGAGAGATTAGCATGATTCAAAGGGAGCCAAGTGCTAATATCCAAGACAACAGGAAAAAAGATCTCAAAGACATTTCAGAGATTTCTGACACAGCTCCTCCCATCATAGGCCCAGAGGCCTAGGGGGAAAGAACGGTTTCAGGGATCAGGCCCAGGGCTGTTGTCCTGCTCAATCTCTGGACATTTCTTACTGTGTACTGGCTACTCCAGCTCCAGCTGCAGCTGCAGCTCAAAGGGCCCCACTTACAGCTTGGGCTACCACTCTAGAGGATGCCAGCTATAAGTCTTAGCAGCTTCCACATAGTGGTTAAGCTTATGGATGCACAGAATGCAAAGCATGAGGGAGGCTTGGCGGCATCCACTGAGATTTCAGAGGATGTATCAGAAAGCCTTCATGCCTGCTGCAGGAGTGGAGCCCACACACAGATACTCCACTACAGCAGTGTGGGGGTTGGAACCCACACACAGAGTCCCCACTGGAGCACTGCCTAGTGGAGCTGTCAGAAGGGGGCAGCCACCCTGTAGACCTAAGAATGGTAGATCTGCCAGCAGTTTTACAACCTCAGCATGGAAAAGCTGTAGGCACTCAACTCCTACATTTTAGAGCAGCCACATGGGCTATATTCTGCAAAACCATGGGGTGGAGCTGCGCAAGGTCTTGGGAGCCCACCTGTATTAATCTATTCTTACAGTGCTAGAAAGAAATACCTGAGCCTGGGTAATTTATACAGAAAAGAAGTTTAATTGGCTCACAGTTCTGCAGGCTATACAAGAAGCACAGTTCTGGCATCAGCTTCTGGGGGACCTCAAGAAGCTTACAATCATGGCAAAAGATGAAGCAGGAGCAGGCATGTCACATGGCAAAGGCAGGAACAAGGAAGACAGGGGAGAGTTGTCATACACATTTAAATGACTAGATCTCACCAGAACTCACTCACTATCATGAGGACATTACCAAGAGGATAGTACTAAAGCACTCATGAGGGATCCACTCCCATGATCTCATCATCTTCCACCAGGCCTCCTCTAAGACTGGGGAATACAACTGAACATGAGATTTGGACAGGGATAGAGAACCAAACCATATTGCCACCCCTTGTCCCTGTGTGCCCTGGATGTGGGAGGTGGAGTCAAAGGAGATTATTTTGGAGCTTTAAGATTTAATGACTGCCCTGCTAGGTTTCAGACTTGGGTTGGGCTTGTTACCTTTTTCTTTGGGCCAATTTTCCCCTTTTTAGAAGGGGAATGTTTACCCAATGCCTGTTCCACCATTACTTTGAAGTAAGTAATTTGGATTTGATTTTACAGGATCATAGGTGGAAGGATCTTATCTCCAGATGAGACGCTGTTCTTTGGACTTGGAACTTGGAGCTCTTGACTGAATTGATGCTGGAACAAGATAAGACTGGTAGACTATTGAGAAGGGATGATCATATTTTGCCATGTGAGAAGGACAGGAGATTTGGGGGACTGGGGCAGAATGATATGGTTTGGATGTTTGTCTTCTCCAAATCTCATGTTGAAATGTAATCTTCAGTGTTGGAGGTAGAGCCTGGTGGGAAGTGTTTTGGATGACTTAGCACCATCCCCTTGGTGACGAATGAGTTCTCACTCTGAGTTCATGTGAGATCTTGTTGTATAAAAGAGTGTGGCACCTTCCCTTCTCTCTGTTTCTCATTCCTGCTCTTACCATGTAACATGCTGACTCTCTGTGGCCTTACACCATGATGTAAGCTTCCTGGGTCTGTTACCCAAAGCAGTTGCCAGTGTCATGCTTGCCGTACAGCTTGCAGAACTGTGAGCCAATGAAAGTTCTTTTCTTTAGAAATTACCCAACCTTGGGTATTCCTTTATAGCAATGTGAAAACACACTGATACAGGAGCCCTGTTAGGAGAATGGGAAAGACACAGGGAAGGGAAAGTGGCCACTGTGGAATGTGTCATCCAGCCAGCTACCTCTCAGGGGGCATGAGGCTTAACACCACTGGGAAAACTCCGAGATCCCTGGTAAGACACACAGATCAAAGGCACCTCACCAAGAGGCAAGGGAGCTGGGGTGCTGACACTCCACACTCCCTCAGCCAGTGGTTGAGGGATGACAAAGGAGAGTATTGGTGATTAATTCTCTGTAAGCAGCAAGAGAAGAGCCATCAACCTAGCAATGCAGGTGTCAGCATTTGGAAGTCAGGTGGGAGGTGCTGAGGAGGGACAGGTGGTCACGGCAGGGCACCAGCAACCACTGCCATGAAACACTAAGACTTACTGGGTTCTTACTAGACATCATATACTCTGCGAAGCAGCACACTACAAACTTGATTTAATTCCATCTTTATAATATCATCATAGGACTGGTATTTTTAGTTCTGCTTCACAAGGGGGAAATAGAGGCACCTTCCTCATCTGCCAAAGGTCAAATGACCAGTAACAAGCAAAACTGAGAATTGACTGCAGGTTGGTCTAGCTCAGCATACAGCTCCTTGATTTTCCCACTGCATCGTGCTCCCTCTAAAACCTCAGAATGCTGTGGGGGCAAGGCCAGCCTCACAGATACGTTGGCCCAGGAAGTCACGGACGGCCTCGTGCTCACAGGACCCTGCACTTGCTTTAATGCTTTGCAATTTCACCATCTTGAAACTGAACTAATTTTGAGTTAGTTAGAGGGGCCCATCACTTTCATTTTGCACTGGACTGCAAATTATGTAGCAGGTCCTGACTCAGGGCCTCGCTCACCCAAGTTCTAATTTCCCTAAGAAGCACATCTCAAACTCTGCTTTAAAATCTCACTGACTTAGATTTAATTGAAAAATTCTTTCCATCTGTATAATAATTTTCCACCCCAAAGTTACACCAAGAATTAACAGGTGATAATGATTTAACAGCATACTCCCAGCAACAAAGACCAGACAGATTCTTTCTCAACAGCCCTAGCTCTTACTTTAATCTTCTGGCTTCTTCCCTGTGTCGCAGCATAGCAGTTAATGACCTGCAATAAATCCAAGAAGCTGTGATTTGAAAGCTACTGAGGGCTGGCAAGGAAATAGATCTATATTTTCACTGAGAGGTGGTATCTGGGTAACCTGGGCCCAGCAAGGATTCCTCGATATTAAGGCTGTTCTTCTTTTAAGACCTAAATCGACATCTCTACTGTCTCACCCAGGGACTTGTATTTTTTCTTTTAATCACTCACGCCTACCCTTTTATCTAACCTTTCCAGACTGCTTGCACTTTAAAGTGTAATGGCTGTATTATCAGACAAAGCTGATCATAAATGTGGTGAAGGGGAATGGCCTGAACAGCTTGAAGACGTGGCCCCCAAGACTGGCCTCAAATCACATGCAAGGGCTGCGGCATTGCCCTGGCACCTGAGCCCCTGACCCCCACCCCAGATGGGCACGTGAGCAATGTAGGGTGACTCTATGTGGGATTTCCTGGATCCACTGAGACTTTATATACACCTTTACAATTGCAATTCCCTGTTCAGCTAAACTCTCTCTACTTCTAGATAGATCTATTTGATGTAAGCTAAGTTTGATGTACTCTGTAGTCTGCTGGGAAAGTGTATAAACAAGCTCTTTGTTCTCTCCAGCAGCATCCCTGGTGGAAACCCAAGGGAATTCCTAAGACTACAAGCCACTGCTCAACGAAATAAGAGAGGACACAAACAGATGGAGAAACATTCCATGTTCATGGTTAGGAAGAATCAATATC